GTGGAGATGTTGATACTTGCAAAAGCACATCTGGTTATGTCTTTAGCATTGGCTCAAGTGCGATTTCATGGTCCTCCAAAAAGCAATCTATAGTGGCACTTTCAACTACAGAGTCTGAGTATGTTGCTCTTGCATCAGCAGGTTGTCAAGCTAGGTGGCTGAAAAGTATTTTAGAAGAGATGGGTCAAGTTCAAGAAGGCCCTACAAAGCTGTTCTGCGACAACAAATCAGCTATTTGTCTTTCCAAAAATCCAATGTTTCACAGCAAGAGTAAGCATATCAAGATCAAGTTCCATTTTATCAGAGAGCTAATCAAAGACAAAGAAGTTGAGGTTCTGTATTGCAAGTCCCAAGACCAGCTGGCAGATTTGTTCACCAAACCATTGAAGAAGGAGCTGCTCATCAAGATGAGGAAATTAATTGGCGTAAATGAAGTCTAGCTTAAGGGGGGATGTTAAAATAATCTAGACTTCATTAATAGTCGGCTGGTAAAAATTGTAATAGTTGGCTGTTAGTAGTTGTGGGTTGAATTAATGGTGTGGTAGAAGTTAGTTGAATTAACTATGTTTGGTTTTAGTTGTGTTGTTTTAATGTATTAGGTCGGCAGTGGCTATTATATAAAGCCACCCCTTTCTCTTCATTTTGTATTAAGCAAGGAACATCATCAGTCTCTAAAACAGTGTCCCACTACTTTCTGTCTTTTGATTATCACAAGAGAACAAGTTTCTTCTCTTACCTATTATTACTCCCACATAACCGTACCCACCACCAATAATATCATTCCTTTATTCCATCAAGAAAATCCCCAAATTTTCAGTTACCATGTAAACCACTGCCCGAATTTGTATATTGGTTGATGCCATTAATATATTAATATTAGTGCTTGCCTCAACAACTAGCTCTATGTGGAAAAATAACATTAAAGAACTCTGTTTTCTTTTTGGTTGAAACATTATGTAAGAAATGGTTGGCCTCACAATCACAATCAGAATCCTACACACACAGAGAGACATTGGTATGGAGGGGATTGCAAGTTAAAGATCAAATCTTGAAGACTAGAATGGCACCAATGGAGTAGTACTTATTTTGGGTTTCAATTTCTTCTGTTATTCTCTGCAAGCTTGTGATATTTTCTTCTGGGCCCAAGTTTAAGTTCATTGAGTGCTGAAGGTAGCAACTATTCGGGTGGTAACAGAATGCTTATCAGAAACCCATCTCAAATATCCCTCAGCAAATGGGACACCGTCCTTCCCAGCATCGTCGTGTGCGTTGAACTCGACATGGTAGGTAATTTTCTGGTTAACCTCTGTGAATGTGAGCACCTGAGGATTTACACTCATGCCCACTTTAGGTGGTACTACAAGAGCCAAGTTGTAAGTTGAATTAGCTGGGCCAACATTTGTCACCGTTCTTGTGTAATACTGAGTCCGAGTCTCTGAGGACCCGGTTTTGATAGAAAATGTAGGATAATTTAGCTGTGCTTCTGGTACGGCTCCTACTTGAGAGCAGTTCACTGTTTGTTGGGTGATGACCTGTATCTGCTCGTCTGTGTAATTCAAACCACACAAGTAAGGAATGTAATCCTCTGGTTGTATGTCGTAGATGAGCCCTGGGTCATTTGCTTTTGAAGGGTTAACATGGCCTGCACCAAGGGCAAAGATATCTGCTGGAAAAAGTGTTTGGTCAACAATGGCAGAGCCTGCGAGGTTTTCTACTTCAGCGGTTGTCATGATTGCTGACTTAATGGCAGCTGGTGACCAGTCAGGGTGGGAGCTTTTGAGCAAGGCTGCAATGCCACTTAAGTGAGGGCATGACATTGAGGTACCTGAAATCATGTTAAATGTTGCCTTGCCTTCTGTTCCATTGTCCACAGAAACAGGCCATGCAGCTAGGATGCTAACACCGGGACCAATGATGTCAGGCTTCAAAATTCCAGGGCTTGTAATGCTTGGTCCTCTTGATGAGAAGGAAGCAACCTTGGGAGCAAGTGGATCTCCGATGACAGTACCTTTAAACAAGATTGTGGCTGTAGGTGTTGAGGTTGAGTTTATAAAGGCTTTGATATTCAAACCTGCCTGATAACTCACATGTGTTGCAGGGAGGACATGAGCGTCAGCTAAGACGCTATAGCCATCTATCGCTTGGTTCACAAGAATCATGGCAGCACCATCATATTCCTGATGAAACAAGGAGAAAATTGGATGACAAATCAGAAAAGTGCATTCTTGTTGGGTATAGCGAAAAGGCCAAGGCATATAAGTTGTTTAATCCATTGACTAACAAGATTATTGTTAGTCGTGATGTCAAGTTCAATGAAGAAGAAGCATGGAATTGGAGTGAAGTTGAAAAACAAAGTCCAATACTGTTGGACATTGAATATGAAAATCCAGATTTAATTCCACCAACAACTCCATCATCACAGGAATCTTCATCACAAGGGTCATCATCATCATCTTCTAGTGATAGCAGTGAGGAAGAAGAAATTTGCAGAGGACAAAGGAGATCAACAAGAGCTCATCAACCATCCACAAGGTACCCATCTAGTGATTATGTTTTGATCACTAATGGTGGCACAAATTTTGCTCTATTTGTAGATGCAGACCCAATTATGTTTGAAGAGGCTTCAAAGGATGAAAAATGGGTGAAGGCTATGGATCAAGAAATTGATTCCATTAAGAAAAATGACACATGGGAGCTGGTTGATCTTCCTCAAGGAAAGAAGCCTATAGGAGTAAAATGGGTTTATAAGACCAAGTTGAATGCTCAAGGAGAAGTTGAGAAATACAAAGCTCGCTTGGTAAGGCGGTACTCCTTCATCACTAAACGAAGGATGATCTGGTCCGATCCCAGTATCCAAAACTCCAATTATCACACCTTCACCGTAATTTGCTCCTTTCCAGACTCCCAATCCTTGCTGCAACCCCAAGAAGTTAGGACTATGAGTAGTGTGCAAAGGCAGCATCCTCTCTGGATGGGCAGACACAAACCCTTCTTTCTGATCCATTGCCTTTACTTCCGCCGGCGTCAGTTTTGCTGCAAATCCAGTGGCCACATTGCGGTATGTATGAACCATTCTTCGCTTTGTCAGCTCGTTTGAGTTTGCAATAGTGGCCGGCAAAAATGTTTGATACCAGCTCTCTAAATCTTCATGAGATTTTGTAAAAAACAAGTTCTGGACCGGCCTTTTCACCCAAACAATGTAAGTTTGCATGCTACTTTTGCCCTCATCTGTCTCCGCAGCAACTGCTACTGATAAATAAAACATGACACTGAAGCCAAGAAGATATATAATCTGCAACATCACACACTTTTTGTTCTCCATCTTTTGACCAAGAAGAACTTGGGAGTACAAGTGCTCTGTGTTTGTCTACCACTAAAGCAATTATATATAGAAGATAGCAACATATCGAGCTGGAAAAAGCCTGCATTTCTTGTACAGATTGAAGGTGAAGGTTGGCTTGTTGTGACTTGGTTAAATTCTTGACCAAAAAAAAGACTTGGTTAAATTAAAGCGCTGCCAGGACTTGAGGTGGAGTTCAGATAGGCTTTGATTTTAACACCTGCAACATAACCCACGTGTGTTGCGGGAAGTACATGAGGGTCAGCTAAGGTGCTGTCACCATCAGTCTCTGCATTCACGAGAGTCATGGGCCATGCTACTTATTCTTTAGTTAAAATTTAGCTAAAAACACACAAAAGTTATTTAGGAACTCTATAAAATTCGAACTCCAATCATACTCCCTAAATTAGGAAGTCATAAATACTATAGTTATTTTTTAATTCAATATGATTGGTTATCATCTCTATAAAAAAAAATAGTTTGTAGTAATTAAAAGTTTAAACTATGCATAAAACGAAACATCATTAAATTATAAGGAGCTACTAGGAGTTCTTTCTCTTTCCTCAGATTTAGGAGTTCCTAGAGGTCTCTCTATTTTAGGAGGTGAATAGGGAGCATGGTTGGAGTTGTATTTTTCCAATTCCTCCCTAAAATTTGTCTAAGAAGGTGGTTTAGGGACCCCATTGTGGATGCTTTAAGTGTGAGTAATTATAGTGTACGTAGTATGAGAGTATGTCACATGGTATAACTCATTTGTTAGAATATATAAGTGGATATTTATTGATATTATATCATAAAAGTGGGAAATATTAACCATATCGCCCATCCATATTATAACACGTGGACGAGTTACAGCAGCCTTGCTACGTAGTAAAGTGTATACGTACATGTGGGTTTTTGGCAAGTCATTAGACACAAACAAGTTTAAACACTTAAATCAATCTCAACCACATGATTTCATTGAAATAGATCCAACGACTAAGCACCTCATTCCTCAAATGATAACACTGAATCTCTTATATATATTCTTCAGCAAGAATATTCTAATTGCCCCAATAATATCTATATTCCTATGTGCAGACATTGCTTGTCACGTGCTTATGTCCCCATCATTGACTTGACGCTAGCTCTTCAATTACTCATGTATATTTTTTATTTTCAAGTGCCCATAGAGATAAGACTTCCATATATAGGGCTCACCTCAATTAAAAATGTGGTTAGTAAAGTGGTACACGATTTTTTTATATATTATATATGCTCAGATATATATTTAATTTTGCAAAAATAATGCATCCAACTAACTCAACCAAAAAAGTTGCATCCAATTAATGATGTTCTTGGAATATTGATACAAAATAAATTAGGTGTTAAAAAATATTTAATATCTGAATATGATCTATTACGACAAAGACTCATCGTCACAATCATGGTGATTATTCAAAAGGTGTAACATCCCTGATCCAATTTAATCGATTTAATCAAATTTAATTATTTTGTGAAATTTCAATTTTTCCCTTGGAAGTAGGGGTACTTTGGTCATTTTAAGAAAAAAAAACATTTATTGTATGATATTACGTAATGGTGTAAGTTTGTGTTAGCTTATGTGAGGCCCCATTTTAAGGTTCGCACAGGGCCTTCAAAATCTCAAGACCGGCCCTGACTCTACAAGTAGAATATTAAATAGAATATTTCAAAGGTATAGTCTACAAGGAGAATATTAAATAAAATATTTCAAACGTATAGCCGCGTGTCTATACTCTGTAAGAAGATTATTTCAGACGTCTAGCCGAGCGGCTATATTCTACAACTAAAACATTTCAAAGGTATGCGGTAAAATAGAAAGTTTCGACAATATAGCCGCTCGGCTATACGCTTTAAATAGGAAGTATCAAACGTATAGCCGAGCGGCTATACCTTTAAATAAGCATAATGTAGATTTCTCTTTTTTAATTACTTTAATTAGTAGTTATATTTTAATTATTATTTAGTCAGTGAATAATTAGTATTTAAATATTTTATTGAAGAAAAAAAAAATTACTATTTATTAAGTAATATAATTTATCAACCTAATTAAAAATGCTAAGATATTACTTAGTTACTAAAAAGAAATTATTTTTAAGAAAATTATTGACCTAAAGAAACTAAGTTTAAAATTATTTTTTATAAACCACATACCATTTCAACAGTATAGCCGGACGGCTATACTTTGTAAGTTGAATTTTAAATAGAATATTTTAATGGTATAGCCGCTCGGCTATACTCTACAAGTAGAAAGTCTCAAAAATATAGCCGCGCAGCTATACGCTAAAATAGAAAGTCTCAAAACTATAGCCGCGCAGCTATACTCTAAAAATAGAAAGTTTCAAAAGTATAGCCTCACGGCTATACCTTTAAATAGCATAATAAGATTTTCTCTTTTTTAATTACTTTAATCAGTAGTTATGTTTTAATTATTATTTATTTTGTGAATAATTTGTATTTAAATATTTTATTAAAGGAAAAAATAATTAATATTTATTAAGTAATATAATTTATGAAGTTATTTAATAAATTTAATACTAATTATTCACTAAAAAAATAATAATTAAAACATAATTACAAAAGGTAACTAAAAAATGGTAAGATATTACTCAATTACGAAATAGAAATTTTGTAAAAAAAATTACTGAACTGAAGAAACTAAATACCATTTCAAAAGTATAGCCGAGCGGCTATATGTTTGAAGTAGAAAGTTTCAAACGTATAGCCGCGCGGCTATACGCTGAAGTAGAAAGTTTCAAAAGTATAAGCCTATCGAGCTGCTCAGGTTGCCAATATCATAGGGAAGTGATGTAGAGAGATTCCCAAAGGGAACACATGAAGAGCGGCGTTTAATGGATTATCTGACAATAATAATACCTTCTAATTTCTAAGATTAGTCAAACAAGAGAAGATGTTTGCTTCTGGATTTGAAGTATCAGTTGTCAAATTATTTGAGTGGAAGCTAAGCAACTCAAGGTTTGTTATAAAGCACTGGAGATACCCGGTAAGTATTGGCAACCTGTAATTAGAATATTATAATTAAAATATTTAATACTAATTATTCACTAAAGAAATAATAATGCAAGAAACGAGTGATTATGACACCCATGCCTCCCACCCTATTTTTGTTTGTGTAAAACAAGTTGGAACTGTTTTTATTAAAAAATTTCTTCTTCTTCCGTTTTGGAAATGGTGAGAATCCACCCCTAATTTCATCACATGCATGCATCTTGATCTTGACTTTGCATGTGTTGTGTGACATGAGAATCGCTAGCAATTATGTATGGAATGTGCTAATGTTGTTCAAAGTGCTTAACATACCATAATCTGTAATTTAGATTAAGCTACCGTCTTTGGCTACTAATACTATACCAGATGAGATTGGTGACCTTCAAAATTTACAGATTTTGGAGCTCCACGTTAATAGTCTCAATCATTTGTAGGAAACAATAAACTCAGTAGAGTATAGCGGCTATACTATTGAACCTTCCTATTTAAATATTACAGCCGAGCGGCTACCCTTCCAAAACTTTATATTTAAGAGTATCGACGCGCGGCCATACCTTTGAAATATTCTACTTGTAGAGTATGGAGTATAGGCGCACAGCCATACCTTTGGAATATGCTACTTGTAGAGTATAGCCGCACGGCTATACTGTGAAATATTCTATTTAATATTACTTATAGAGTATCGCAGCGCGGCTATACCTTTGAAATGATATGTAGTTTATAAAAAATAAATATAAACTTAGTTTCTTTAGGTCAATAATTTTTTCTAAATTTATTTTTAGTAATTAAGTAATATCTTAGCATTTTTTAGTTGCTTTCATTTGTAATTATTTATTTCTTTAGTGAATAATTAGTATTAAATATTTTAATTCACTTCATAAATTATATTACTTAATAAATATTAAGTATTATTTTTCTTTAATAAAATATTTAAATACAAATTATTCACTAACTATATAATAATTAAAACATAAATACTAATTAAAGTAATTAAAAAAGAGAAATTAATATTATGCTATTTAAAGGTATATAGCCGAGCGGCTATACTTTTAAAACTTTCTATTTTAGAGTATCGCCGCTCGGCTATACGTTTGAAACTTCCTATTCAAAGAGTGTAGCCGAGCGGCTATACGTTCAAAACTTTATATTCTCTTGGCATGGGGAAAACAGAGGTGGAGCACCCAAGAGGCGGTGTGCAAAGCAACGACACAACAGAACATACCCTCAGATATCATACCATGCCAAACAAGAAGCTATGAATTTCTTTATGACGACTTTTTCCATATCCATATATTATTGTCTTTAAAATTTGAATACACTTATACAATCAGTCAAATATACCAAAACAAAACGGCATGGCTTCCTTACACTGTCTACAACAACATGAATTGAAGACTAAAATTATACAGTCACATGAATCAAATTTGATTTCAACCACATGCTTGTAGCTCATAGGTCTTATCATTCGATTTCCCTCTCCCCCAATATCACTTGTATAAAAAGAAATAATAACACTGAAATTGAATCAAAGTGCATGAAATATATGTCATAGGATAGGATCCATTACGTAAAGCGCTGAACAAGAGGACAGTTTAACACCACATGTCCAACAGCATCCTTAAAAAACTTTCTCTTGATTTTGTTGAGTGTGGCTACAGCTTCTTTCATACTTATCCTCTCTTCTGGTGATTCTGTACAGTAAGCAAGAGCTAATCTCATAATGGCTGATAAGCAATCCCTCTTCCTCACATGATCATCGTCTTCCTGCTCTGTCGCAATCCCAAGCAAATTGGCATCCACGACTTCATCTATCTTTGCATCTGGTAACAATAGTGAGTTTGCAATCCATTGCTTTAAATTCATTTCCCCAACAAACATCTCATCTGTTGGCTTCCTTCTTGTGAATGTTTCCATTACTACAATTCCAAAACTGTACACATCCCCTCTTCTTGAAACTATTCCTTCCATCCCATACTTTGCAATATGAATTACACTTATATATGTGTGAATAATATTCATGTTTATGATGAAATGAAAATTATGAGTTAAGTTCTTCATAGTTAAGGACAACATGTATAAAATTGAAAGATAAACTAACTTGCAAGTATATCACCTGGAGCCATGTAGCCAATTGTAGCTAGTGTCATGGTCTGGGTTATAGAATCTCCTACACCCAGGAGTTTTGCAATGCCAAAATCAGCAACATGTGCAACCATATCATCATCTAGTAGTATATTGCTGGGCTTCATATCACAATGGACAATAGGTACTGAATAGCCATCGTGTAGGTATTCCAATGCCGACGCAACGTCTATCATTATGTTCATCCTCTGTAAGATATTCAAAGAATAGTTTTGAGAATACAGCCACTTGTCGAGGCTCCCATTTGGCATGTAATTTAATACCAAGGCTTTGAAATCAATTTCACTGCAACAACTGATAATTTTGATAAGATTTCGATGACGAATATTGCTTAGCATTTCACATTCTTGTAAACTTTATTGACTGCACATAAGTAGAACACATATCTTTGGTATGTCATAGAAACTGTCGACATATCAAGAATATACACAAGAGCTCTTCTCCTCAATCCGATCCCTCATACACTCATTCTAGATGGGGTGAATTCTTTTGTGTGGGTTGGCTTAATCGGTTGAGCAGGGGCACTTGTATTTATATGCATATTCCTAAGAGTCTTGCCCATCAAGAAACTCTTAAGAAGTCCTTATTGCATTAGGTTTATAACTTCTAATCCACAATTAAGATAGGAATCCTTCTAGCTCTTATATTAGCCTTAAAACACTAACTTTAATAGAGCTGCAGGTTTAGTTGTATTTGAACTCCTAATTGATATCAAGTCTTAGAATCCTTTGATGATTATAAGACCACACTTTAATGGGTTAGACATCTACACGTCTAACAATTCTCTATCAAAACTCTTGAAAGCCCCCTTTAGCTGCAAACTGAAAACCTTTACTGCAACATCTGTTCCATCTGAAAGTGTCCCTTTATATACTGGGCCAAAACCCCCACTTCCAAGTAAGTTGTTTTTGTTAAATCCATTCGTCACCCTCTTAAGTTCTAGTTGTGAAACTCTTCTCCAAAGAAGTGGAGACAACGAGATAGCCTCTGTTGGAACTTCCACATTCCTTTTCCTGCGTAGAAGAAAGATAGATACGGAGGCCACTAGGAGAACTACTGATATGATCCCAGGGATTATATATTTAGCTTTCCTCCAACTTGGTTCAATTGTAGTATTTTTGCATGGTGGAACATGGAATCGGGGTGCACCACAAAGTGCATTGTTTGAGACAAATGATTGAGCGGAGAAGTTTTGGAAGGGTCCACCAGTTGGAATTTCTCCTTGGAGCCTGTTGAAAGACAAATCCAGATACTTGAGAACTGAGAGAGCTTCTAAAGACTTTGGAATCTCTCCGGACAAGTTGTTTCTAGATAAATCCAAGAGTTGCAAGCTTAGCAAGTCGTGAAATGAACTTGGAATAGGGCCTTCCAAATTATTATTTTCCAAGGAAAGGGTAGCCAAATCCAGAAGATCCCCAATGGTGCTTGGTATAAGACCAGATAAATGGTTCTTTGATAAATCTACATCTATCACAACTTTCAATTTTCCAATATCTTGTGAGAGAGATCCAATTAGAGAATTGGATGATAAGTTTACATGTAAGATATAGGAAAGTCTCCAAAAAGTAGATGGTATTGTGGAAGTCAACAAATTGGACTCTAGTGAAGATATCTTATAAATGTAGCTAGATTGCCCAAGCATGAAGGTATAGAACCAGAGAGCTGATTACTACCCAAATATAAGTAAGCTAGGTTATCTAGTTGACAAAGTTGATATGGGATGTAGCCTTGCAACTTGTTACCATCCAAAAACAAACCTTGGAGATTCCCAAGTCTTTCCAATGAAGTTGGAATTGATCCAACCAATTGATTGTTTCCGAGGTCTAAGTGTACCAAGCTCCTAATGTTGCCAATACCAATGGGAATGTTACCCCTCATTGTTGCATTCCTAAAAGGACACAAATTAATGTGCAAACAACCAATTAAAAATACCCGCAAGTGCACGAATCTATTGAGGTATAGATTATGTAAGTACGGGGTCGATCCCATGAAGAACTTGTCGGCTTCTTATAAATTCTAATTTGAGTACGTAAAGAACACTTAATTGACACACCACAAATGCACAAATGCAAAATGGAAACTAAAAATGAGTAAAGAAGTGTAAAAGAAATGAAACAACACAAGAAAACTAAAGAAAAACACAAACAGCATTTTCTATCACCATTTTATCACCACTTTATCACATGTGAACAGTGAAAATGAACATTATCGTGAACAGTGAAAATGAACAGTGACGACCGGTCTTTTTTTGGCAGATTCGTTTCTCTGTTTTTCCAGTTTCGACCTCTGTCCAGTGTTTTGCCTATAACTTTCCAACCGTTTGTCCAAATTTCAAGTTCTTTATACGGTTGGATTCAACACACAAAAATGAAGAACACTGCGCGGACCAAATGTTAAAAACAGTTACGGAAATAAACAGAAATCAAATAAGAAAACACATAATGTTTCAAACACAAATGGTTCAAGTGACCTATTTCTATTGCATGAAAGTAAATGGACTTTGAAATTAAATGAGAATGGCAAAGATGAGTTATCAAAATGTGAAAGTACCAAGTAACAAACACTAGGGTTTCGGAATCCACCCTAGACAATTCTACCCATGTTCATGGATACTCAAGTGAACTCTAAACGTGTTGATGAAGATGTTCGCAATCAAGACCAGTACTAGTGACTCAAGACGCATTGATTATCTCTAATATACGTAAAGTGCAGTACTAGTGCTACAATGCTTGTGCCTTCCCTATAACCGAATCTAGGTGTGCTTAGTACTTTGATTCAATTACAAGAAAAACCCATTAAGCTCAAAGAGAATATGAACACCACAAGAACCCTAATAGCATGATGTTTACATTTGGTATTCAAGAAACCAATTCACATGGATGATTCTTACTTCATCCATTTATTGCTTAGGATAACATAAAGATACACATAAACCCAACAATCTCAAGAAGCATGCTTTCAAAGATGGCCAACCAAGGAAAAACACACATCAAGGATAGATTAATTTGGTGAATTGGAATTCATCAACAATATCTAGAAATTCATACACTCAAGCATCAAAACAATAAGGTTTTCATATTTAGGGCTTCAACCTAAGCCCTAGCTAAATAAGAAGTTACATTGAAACTAAGAAATTACAAGAAACAAATAAAATGAAAAAAACTAAGAACAAAGAGGAGAAAGAGAATGCATCTTCAACCCCTTGGATCTTTGCCTCAAGGCTCCCCAAGGTTCTCTCTAATTGTTATGCCATTCTTCCCTCCCCCTAGTTGCTCCTTGCTCTCCTCCTTCTTGCTCTCTAGCTCTCAAAATCTCTGCAAAGTTTGGAATGATAGAATGCCTAGGTTACCCACGTTCAAAAGCCTCTCATACTTCAGATTGCACTCATCTTTCCCTTGCCCATCAATTTACAGCTCACACTTTGAATATAAAAGTCATTCTTTCCTCCAAAGCCTTCGCCCATTGTCCCCTTGCCATGATGAAGCTTTGTCCTTGAAAATATGCTCTTTGCCTCAGAAAATAACTCTTTCACTCAGGTAAATTATTGTTACCAAGTGTTATGGTAACAAGAAGAATCAAGTGACACATTGGAGGTAAAAGCTGGACTACTTCGGATTTCCAGAGCTGTGGTAACATGCTTGAAATTGGCACTTAGGTGACGAGGGGTAAATTAAATGACACAAACACAACCACAACGGGCTTCACACACTTCAAACCTTGACCAATACTAGTCATGAACAATCACAATCAAAAGAACACAAGGAGCATGCCACAAAGTACCTGCAACCCTAGAAGATTACTAGTGACAACCTAGGCACTCAGAAGGACCCGTCAATCTAGGCATCCCCTGTGCTAGCAACAACTATGGTGAAAGTGTGTGAAATCATCATTATCAAGTAAACAACAAACAGCAGATAAAGATGACTAGTCAACCACCAAGAACAGAAACCCAGAAAAATTACAGATATGCAAACCAGATTTTGTTCACCCAGAAACCCACCATTGGGAAAAACTGGAGGTCATCAATCGACCAGGCAATCCACTAAGTAGAAAAAGATTCTTACAAAGGAATACAAGCAAGCTCAAGCAAAACCTAGATCTATTTAGGAAGATGAGCTATACCTCCTTTGTGCAATCTTCTTCTCCAACTTAGCAAAGCTTGAAGCTCAGTTCTTCATGGCAATGGCAGCTCCTTCTCCAGCTCGTTCATCCCATGGCACTAGCTTGCAAGCTCCAACTCAAACCGAAACCAAAATTTGGATTCAAAGGAGAATGACCAATTTCTTCAAGAAACCATACTCTTGAAGAAATCAATCTTGAATCTGACCTAGATATAAATGAGAGAGTGTTTTAATTAGCTAGATGCAAATTTTCATTTTTCAAATGCAGTTTTCAAAAAGAAACAATTTGAAAAACTCAAAGATGAAAAATATGAAGATGGCTCTTGAGGAAGAAGCAAAAGTTTCCAAAGAAACTTTCCAAAACTTGCCTACAAAAGTGACAGCTCCCAAAAGAGTAATTGGTTTCCTTTTACACCAAAATTCCTAGGTTAGAATCGTACAATGACAGCTGGGAATTTTGCAGAATAAGACAAAAACATATGGGTAGGATCCAGCTGGAACAGTGAGCTGGAATTCCTACTGAGGCAGAGGTTAGACAAAAACATATGGGTAAGATCCAGCTGGAACAGTGAGCTGGAATTTCTACTGAGGCAGAGGTTGACTAGTCATAATCTTCAGAAGTTGGAAAATGCAATGTAATGCAATGCAAATTTACCTTTGTCAATTTGCTTGAACCTCCATAGGATAGTTGATAGTTAAGAACACCTAGAGAAGCTATTCTTAATCTAAACTTGAGCTTGATAAAAACAATAAAAATCCTATT